ACTGAGAAGATCACTGAAAGCTTAGCGAAATAAATAGCCTTCTGTACGGTTATGATGCCAAAAGGATTAATTTCGTCATCTCCCTATTTTCCCTCTTTCTAATAATCTTTCGTATTGAATTTGCTGGTGCGTCGCTTCAAATCCTTTTGGTCAAATTTTGTTGCTCAATGAATGTTCTACAGTGCTGCTCGGACGGGCTCGTGCGTTTTTACGCCTTTGACCGATTTCACACTGGCTTCTACTAGAATATACCGCTGAATGGCTTGGAGGTTGGTTTTTGCTTAAGAGTCATTCTCCTTCCCAAATATCTTTGAATCACGTGTGACATTATTTTTCTTTAATTTTTTTCTTAGCTTCAAGCAAGCCGTATAAACAAAAATTTTTGTAGAAAAGTTATCTTCGGTTTCTATGATATAGCTTTGGGCAACAATTTGGCCTAAACAGCTCCACAACTGAACGCTTACGCCTCCTGATTGTTTATTTCAGTGTCTAAAGGATAAGTGAAGATTAGGACAACAGCCAATCTCTTGTGGAGATTTTTGGGACAAAATTTGGGAGGTGAATCTAAAACGGTCCTTTTGTCTTTTCAGGGGTGAAGACCTCTCGCGGGGAGGAGAGATAGAGGCAATTATGCGGAGTACAAAGAAGCCTTAACCATTACAGGCAAAATATGTTTTAAACGAAGTTTTTGAATTGGCTCTCTTTCAATCGTTCTTTCTGTAGGGATTTTGTAGGGACTTTATTCTGTAAAAGGCTCGAAATGGTTGTAAGGGAGAAAGAGCAGAAATTATGGATATACCTTTCTATATGTGTCAGTGTTACAGCGAGTTGTGATTCTGGAATGGACCTAAGCTTAGCTTATAAACAGACTATGAGCTTGACACTCCCGAAAGCAAACACGCGATATCATAACAACGTTCGCTCGTTTTTAATCTCGTGCTTTTGACATCTGCTTGCTACAATTAGTCGATATAGCTGTCTGAATGTTCGATTGCGACAATAAATCGGTTGTTACAAAGATTGCATAGCTTGGGAACATGGACTCGTTTTATTTCTTTGAGCTTTTTGAAAATATTAGATTTTTTGAAAACTAAAATTTTGAAAGAGCAGTCGGATATCAGCAAGTCGTGATAGACTTTTTTCCTTTCCAAATTTTTCTCCAAAAAATTTGTCTTTTCTCTCCTTAGGATCTCGTTTTGATAACCACGTCTTTTCGAAAATCACCGAATGGAACATACGGCAAGGTTATAGCTGCAATCCTTATTCAGTTCCTCTTGTTTTGCGCATACACTAATGATATCGTTGCTTCTTTGAGAAATGGCGAATCATTTTACAACTGTGAACGAGGAAACGAAAAGCAGCTCTTACTTGTGACGTATGAAAGCGTTGTTAGCTAACTTTTGCACTTTCATCATACTAGCGGCACTAAGGTGAATTGTTCTGAAGGATGTTTTGTTCGACATGCGGCAAGCATTCTCGTCATTATTTTTGACGACATGCTCCTGGTACTCACGAAATGCGATTTCTTCGTTAAAGCCAATCTAGGAATGGATAGTATCGGTTTTAGTTCGCTACGCATCCTATCTTTCTTCTATTCTATATTTCTTGCTTTTTCCTATTTTTCCTATTATTTTGATATGTCTATTTAGTATGTGCAAACGGCTTGGTCAGTTATTGCCGTCAGCGATAGCCTGGTCGCTGATCGTTATTTGTACTCTATGCTTTTATTACTTTCTTGCACCAGCCGTTGCCGTTCGATGGGGATGGTTAGTTGTTCAGTTAATTTTTCATTGGTATTGATTGCTATATTTTCTATCTTTTAGCCTGATGAGGTGTAATCCTTTCGGAACGCTTTACTTCTATTGTGAAAACCTAAACAAACCATATTTTCGAAGAACTAGTTTTGGAAGTAGAAAGAATTTTTGTTTCTTCTTCAGCATTAATTACTTGTCGTGTTATTCAAAATGCACATCGGATGCAGCTTAACACTAGATTTTTCTTACTTTATAGGAAAAGACATAGTATTCTGATGCTTTTACTGCTTAAAAAATATTGTTCATGCCTTGAGACTTTGTAGGTATGGATGGGCACTATGCGGCGTTGATCTCCTTTTATTTCTTATGGTGATCTCGAATTTGGTTATGGCGATGTGTATGGATCCAGGCATTCATCCATACGGTGAGTTGATTACAGTCTCATTCAACCCTTAGTTTTCAACTTAATTCCTCTTTGAAATATCTGTATAGGCTACGCTACAGAAGAAATGAACACGGACGATTTCCGTTCGCCATTATATAAAAATGTCGAAATCAATGGTATAACGGTGCGTATGAAATGGTGCGTAACGTGTCAATTTTACCGACCACCTCGATCAAGTCATTGTTCCGTGTGCAACAGGTAGTTGGCAACGTTCAATTTATATGCTAATGGTTTCAATTGGATAGAAATACTAAATAAGCATGAGCACGTTTTTTCCACTGCCATAACTCGATAATGAGCTTGGCAGCATGAGAACGCATAGCCATGTGAAAGTTTTGCTAGTTGTTAAACACTCTGAGTTTAAAAAACTTCATCATTTGGAGATTTTCAAATGAAGAAAACTTTATTTTGTTTAGATGTATTGATACATTTGATCATCATTGTCCTTGGGTCCATAATTGCGTAGGAAGGCGAAATTACAGGTAATAGTTGTTTGAAATCGCTGACTGTTGTTTTTTACCTAGTAGAGAAACTTTTTAAAAATCTCATTTTAGATATTTCTTTTTCTTCCTCTGTTTTCTTAGCATACACATGCTGTATGTTGCCTCCGTATGCTTAGGATATACGCTTACACACAGGTAGTTCCATTCTTTTTATGTTCTTTAAGTTATATTTCTCATAGTTCTCTTTTTCTCTATCATTCAGGTCTTAAACTC